ATACCACTGCCTGCCTGCCTGCCGACGGTAACCTAACCCTGTGTGATGCCTATACTAAGCACATGTGTGTTTGATGAGCCTACTCAAAGGAATAGGTAGCGTTTCCTGCCTCATATTCCTAGTGGTCTGTTCCCTGTGTTGTCACAAGCTTTCTGCTATCATCTTAAGCTCTCCCCAGTTTCCCCATTCGCTGACTGAGTGAACCATGTAGTGCCCCTGTCTAAGCCTGGAGATGGAGTAGTGGGAGGCATCCAGGATCAGAAAGCAGACATCCCGATTCTAATTTCAGCTGCATAGCTTGCTGGATGCTTGTCCTAAGCAGTCCCTTGCCTCACTTTCCTCATCTGTAAAATGAAGCAGAGGACTAGATGTTCTTTTGTTTAGATCCCCAGAGTTCCACGATTCTATAATCTAAACTCCTTCTTGGCTTTCTTTAATTCTTTCAAGAGCAAGGGCAAGGAGGAGATAGCCTACAAGACAACTTTATGGGCCACCAGAAGTAGGGCAGAGTCAGACAGGGAGCTGAGGGGAGGGGAAGGGGAACGATAATTGGGCCAGGCCTGACCCAGAGTTCACAAAACCAACTGTCTGTGGAGAGGATGGGCTTGCTGTGGCTTAGTGTTCACAAGTGTAAAAGAGATTTAAGGGCTTAAATGACAGTATGCTTATGTGGGTCAGTAGTGTGGGCCCTGCCAAGAATTGATCATGGACTTTCAGTTGAGGGATAACATATTGAACAAAGGGGCTATTTCCTGCCCATTGGAAAGGACCAAACATTGTGCTGGTCCATACTAACATTCCAGGTGTCCATCCCTCTGTCTCTGCACTGGTGAGCTCACCTACAACTTGGGAGTGCTGCTATGCTGGCTGGGTGGGTCCTTTAGCCCTCTCATGCCTCTGTTCCCTCATCTGCAAAAGGAGTAGTAATAGCACCAATGTTAGGTTTCTTAAGATGACATGAGTGAATACATAGACCACACTTCACTTACTGTGGAAACACATTCTGAGAAATGCATCACTAGGCAACATCATCATTGTGCAAACACCATAGTGTACTTAACCAGGATGGCCACAGTGGTGCTAGGTTATATAATCATGGGATCACCATCAATTTATTTGGTGGTTATGTACTTCATGATCACATAAAGCTATTTGAACAATACGATGTATTCATTTATGTTTTTCCTGCTAGTAATTAAGATTATCTAGGCAAACTAGACTCCTTTGGATTGGGTGGAGTAAAATGTGGGGAGGCTCAAAGCTCTACTGGGTATGAAGACAGATAGAAAAAACTGGTATGTTTGGCCAAAGGGGAAAAGGCTTAGGATTGCAGAGGCTAAGCAGAGATCTGAACTCTGCATGACCTGAAAAGGGACAGAAAATAGGCTGCACATGAACTTGTCCAGCTTTCCAGTAATGTCCAAAGAGGCAAAACAACTATCGCTGCCATCCAAAAATTAGGTGAAACATGTGGGAAGCCATTAAGCCTCCGCTGCTGTTGGCTGAAGGGGCATTGGCAGGGTTCTGAGAAGTATCACATGCCAGGGGACATGGAGCTGTCTGGATTGTAAGGCCTCTGACAGCCATAGACTATCTTTGTACACTGTGGGTGCCAAAGAGTGAGGGAACTGGAAGGAAACGCTCCATGGATTCAAAGCTTGGCCACAGCCTGGTAGTAGTAGCCCACATCAGTATGTAAGTTTGTGCCTAAAGCAACAGGGGCAGCCACAAATTGAACTCTCATGCCTCACACGCCCAAGATTGTCTGGAGCTGAGCAGTTACTGTTCCCATGGATGGGTGCTGGGTGGTTCCCAGGATGACAGTCTTTCTGATGACTTTTGTAGTCACCATGACCTGTTTGACCCTAGCAGTGTTTGTGTTTGCACACTTTACACTGGGGAAGCTGCTTTGAGAGGGAAAAGGTTTCCCCTGAGGAGGGTGAAGTAAGTACAAAAGGAACTTTGGAATGACAAATCCCATGGATAATCTGGACCACCTCATCCAGACCTGACTACTGCCTGTTGGGAAGTCTGAAGTTTTAGGGCATAAGGGTGAGCAGAGAGGAAAATCAGTGCCCCCTTTCCATTATGCAGCTCCAGCAAGAACCCTACTTCCTGAAATCTGCAGATAGATTTAGGTGTCTTCTTTTTGGAGACAGCGCAAGAGCATGTGCCAGTGGACAGCTCACCTCTGATATGCACTGCCATGGCTGCCTCTGCCCAGTTGTGCTTGGGATGGAAACTTGGTTTTCTTCTTTGTCATGGATGGGGCTTGGACTAGATGGGAAAAATACCTGGCACCCTACCCTGCACTGGGACTTTGAGCCTGTTGGCTGACTGTTCTTTTCTAATACAATAAAGTTTCAGACTTCCACCTGTGAGTCAAAAGCCCTCCTCAGTACACAGCCAATAGAGCCCCACATGGTTACACCTTCAAGCAGTAGGTCCAGGCAGGAACCTCGTGTGACCCTCTCAGGTAGCATTCGTGGGGGGGGGGGGCTTTGTTAAGATTTCCAGCCTTTGTTTCAAGGAAAGGCAGGGAAGCTTAAGTTCATCCTTAGAACTTTAGTAAGCATTTTAAAAACGAACAAAAAACCCTTTTCTGATCACAAGTACCATCAGGGATGCCACCACCCCTGCTCAGCCTACTCTGGTCCCAATCTCCAGGGAAGGGACCTGGGAGACTGGATGTTCAGCAAGTGTTCCACATAGGCAAATCTTAGAAACATTGTGCTAGGTGGGGACTCTTTTTCCCAGATTAGAAAAACCGTAATCATTTGTTCTCCTTGTGTAAAGCCTGTAGAAGACACTGCTGTGCCCTTGTTGTATCTAGGCTGCACCCTGTGTTCCTGTGTTTGCTGTTGAATACAACTGGCCAGGCACATGGCCTTCCTCACTCCCCCATGGACTTGTCCCCCTGGTTACTATAGTAATACCCAATCACCTTAGTTAATCCATTCAAGGATGCAGCTAGCTGATACAGATTATAATGATGCATGCCCTTTAACCCTGGAATTCAAGTAACAATTTGTACAGATCTTAGCCACAAAGCATATCCTCATAGGTTGGGAAGCATGCGTCAGCTTCACAGGTTATAAAATGAAGCTTCAGACATTTGGAATCAACAGCCCACCTTAAGGTGTGGAGGACTGTTAGCTTTCTTGATGTCATACTTTTTGTGGTGACATTTACACTTTAGAGAGGCCCCTTCTAAGGGTCCTGAGGTTTGAATGATGAGTGGTTGAATTCTAGGCCTTCTCAAGGTGGTCCGAGAGACATGTGGAGGGTAGTTTTGTTACTGTGCCCCTCAGGAGGACCCCCAGCCAGCTAGCATGACTAGGAGCCCTCAAAACGACATAAACAACCAAGTGCAACTGACTGCAGCTGTGAAAAGAAAACATAAAAGTGGTGTGAGTGAAAACGAGGCCCCTGGTGCTCAGCAGAACTCTCTTCCAAAAGCCAGGACTGGTTTGGGAAACAGGAGGCTCAGGCAGCCAGCGAACATCCCCAGGGTGGGGTGCTTCTGGAAGGTTCCCAATTGCTGCCCCTTCTCTAATAGTGCTGGGATGAGTTCATTCTTAGCTCTTAGTAAACACAGCTGTTGTGGTTGTAATTTGCCTGGAGGGTTTTTTCCTATTCCTCCAGCCTTAGCAGTTTGGCAGCTGATAAGGGAACAATAGTGATGAGAGATGGGAAAAGAAGTTGCTGTCTCAGAGCAAAGAGAGAGAAGAGCAGGCACTTCCATGAACAGAATTCATTGAGTGAATCCAGTTGTGGAAAAGGCCGAGCTCCGTGGAGGCTGAGGAGGCGACACCTCACAGAGTGACTGAAGGGTGTTCAGTGCCCAGGTGACTAGTGCTCCTCGGAGAAACCACAGCATTCACAAAGAAAGTTGTCATAAAAGCAATGCAAGATTGTTCCAAGTGAAGAAGGGGTTAAGATTGTTCTTGGAAAACAGACTGGTAATGTGTCTGAATTTACTATGGTCCAAAAGGCATGGCCTTCTGAATGTGATCGGGCACAGATTTGTAAAAATGAGGTAATCATGTTGATTATGTTTTCCCCTAGATATAACATCATTAAAGCACAGTTTATGGGAAAACATGCTTTGGATGAGAATTTTAGGCAGAATCCAAATTCTTGTAAAAGTAGAGTGACTCCATAAGGAGACAGACCTGTGCAGATCCCGTCTGGACAGTGGTCAGTTGTGCCAGGCAGGAGATGGTCTCCCTGTTCAGTACGCAGATTCTGGTCACTGTGGCAAAACAGTGAATTGTCTTTCTGCACCACCCCTTCCAGCATTTTAGTCCTGCTGAGGCTGTGCTGTCCACTTGTGGGAAGGCTGCCAAAGACACTTCTACACCCTCAACTCAAGGAAGGCTTCCTGCGGAGAAGGGAACTTAGATGTGTTTACTTGGTGCAGGTGTAAAAATCCCTAAGGGTTCTTCTCCCCAGCTTCTTCCTGGGACAATAGTGCCCATTCCCCTTTGACACTAGAAGTTGAAACACACCTAAAAAGGATGCCTTGAAGTGACTTCCCTGTGGTCCATATATCCATGCTCAGAAACTCAGCTAGTGCATCAGAATCGTGGCAGTAGGAGGAAACAGAGATATGAATTTCTGCCTACTTCTTAAAGAGAAGAGCAAACTAGAAGTACCATTTCAAAATGGAGCAATTTATAAATCTGGGAATGAGACTCAAGCCAGTTGCTTGTGCTGGGTGGTCTAAGGGAGGTCTGATCTCTTTCTGGTGGGTGTTTATACTAGCTTAGCACAGGTTAGTGAAGTGTTAATGTGGACAGACACTCAAGTTGCTCCCATGCCAGCTGGAGTACTTGAATAATTTTGGTAGAAACTGATTAAAGGATTTGCCCTTGTGGAACCTGCTACATCAGTGCAGAGCCATGTCATTGAGACCTTGAAACGGTCCCTTCTCATACAGAGCTTGTTGATGGAGTTTCATATAAGAAATACAGATTGAGAGACTTTATAATATGGGCTATTTGTTGGAAACAGAATCCACTTTATTACAAAAAATATTGTGACATTGCAAAAATGATAAACCAATAGAAAATATTTTTAGATGTAACAATGTGTGTGCATCTGAAGTGATATATAGCAACTGTGTGTGATTTTATACTTAAATCAAAGTTATATACATAACATTTATCAAATCTGGCTGGGGTACTGAATGAGCCCATCTGCGCTTGAAATAAATCCAGAGTCCTGGTCTAGCCTCTAGGGACACCAGAGCTCTAGGGAGCCCTGGAGTTATTGCTGCTCCATTGAAATTTTTACAGCTCTCTGCCTCTTGTTTCTTCCCTCCTTCATCCTGTTTTTGAGCCCACTGAATTCCTTTGGAGATGATGATAATGATAATGGCTAACATTTGAGTGCTGCTTATGTGCCAGGTGAGGCCCACACAATAACTATGAAGTCAGTACTGTTATTGATCCCAGTTTTGAAGGAAAGAACTGAGCCAAGTAGACGTCAAGGTCCTTCAGGTGGTCAAGATTTCAAATGAAGCTTGTCCTAAAGCCATTACACTGGGCTGCTAAGAATGCTACCCCTCCTTCTTTCTTTCCTCTGACCAGGCCCTCAAAATCAAGAATATGTCCGTGATGGCCTGGGACAGATTTTAAGGAAAAGTACTGTAAGATTCTGTATGGAGACTTGAAATCTCTTATACAGAATTAGTGAAAGTGGGATGGGCTATACTTATTTGCTTTATTTGCAAAATAAGTGAAATAAACCCTTATTCTAAAGATTCTGTTAATTTTCTGTGTTCCTTATTGGCATCGAGAATCAGTTAGCAGGAACTTCCTTGAAAATTGGGACTAGGAAGGACATGTCTGCCCTCGGGGAGCTAAGAGAGTCAGAAATACTGACCCGGCAAATGTTGGAAATTTTTACATGAAGAACTGAATGGTTAAGCATGTCATGTGATCCCAAGGAGGCATTAAAGGGGAAGGCAGGAGGTAAGAGATGTGATTTTTGCAAGATGGTCCATTTTTGAGTTGGACGAATCCCATCTCATTTTTCTAACGATATCACAGCACACACCTTCTCAGCTGGAGGAGAGAGAACAGAGCCAGTGGACAAAAGCAACATAGCATCAGTAGAGACAAAGCAAAAGCATTTCTGTCCTCCTAGTTCCCTGCCTTCACCAGATGCTGTCACTTGATCATGGAAGGCCATCAAAACTGTTGACTTTTTTCATAATTGGTCCTGTTTCTCCACCTCTCTCTCCACTCCTGTCTTCTGGGGTAGAAGGGCCTACAACTCCTTTTTTAGAGAGAATTGGCTAATGCTCATTCCAGAAGAGCACCAGATGGGTGTAGGTAGGTACCACAGGGTTAATTATAACACAGCCTTTGCCACAGTCCACACAGTATTCACTATACCTCGCACATATCCAACCTCCTCCTCTAACTCTCCTCTCTCATCCCTCTTAGAACATCTCCAGCTACACCCAGTCCCCTGACCTTGTCCTAAAGGATAAGCAAGCATGCCAGTATTTGTGTACTGCTGCTCCAAATTTACCCTTTCTGATTGCTCTTTGAAAACCAATCTGAGCCTTAGAGACATTTTCCCTTTGTAGCTGGCACTAGAGCATTGTCAGTAGAGGGCGCTGAAGGGTGATACAGGAACAAAATGATTTTGTGTCTGGTTCACAAGTAGCTTCTGCCGCATTGGGATCCTACACGTGAGTGCTAGATGAGACAGTGAGGACCATGTGGTGGGAACAAGGTACACTCATGAGGTTGAGACGTTGCAGCTGAGAAGCAGAGTTAATCACAAGGTTCTCATCTTCTGTAATTTTTCTCTGTTTTACTTCTACCAGCATCAGCCACAGAAGCGTCTGTGTAACCCTTAATCCAGGGAGCATGGCAGTTAAGAGCAAAGGCAAGCTTTTTTCCAGGCTCTGCCAACTTACTGTGTACTCTTTCACCTGATGCTTAGCTAATAGTATAAGCCTCAGTGTTCTCAACTGTAGAATGGGGATGATAATAGAACACAGCTCCCAGGGGTGTCTGGATTACTTCAGATGGGGATTATAGATGAGAACGCAGTACAGTGCCTGGCACTTTGGGATGATTATGTTGTGGCTGTTGAAGAAATCCAGCTCTGCATGCACACTAGATGGGATAATTTCTACCCTAAATCCTCACAATCATATAGCTAGCTACCTGCCTCTGATTTTCTATTCCTTTCTCCCACCCTTCTCCCACCTTCTCTTCTCTGCTGTTTCTTCACTCCCTTACTCTTCCCTATCTTTTTCTTAGATAAATTCTTCTTCTTAGATAAATTCTCAATTCTTCTTCTGTTTGGACTTTTCCTATAATGAATTAACAATGGTCTGATAAAGCAGATACGAAGTTTTTGCCTGGGGCCTTTCAGAAAAGAATGTGTTTGTTCTAAATATTATATTATCTTGCTCTTATTCTTTGTCTCCAAGCATTCCCTTCCACTTTTGTTCTTTAAGGAATAAAATAAAAAGGAAATGTTACTGTGGCTGTGACCCAAAAGCCAGATGAGTCACGGCTTAGCAACAGACAGAGATCTCAGTGTAAGTAGTTTCTTGTCCTTGTGAGGTAACATCTGTAACTTTCGAGGGCTTCCCTTCACCAGCTGGATAAGGAGCTCCAAGATTAAGTTTCATACAGGCAGCCCACAGGCAGGGGTAGCCTGCCAGCACCTGGAAGCCCAGCGAAGTTGTTCTGTGGACCAATGCTGCCTCTGATGGGATTAGGTCTCTTGAGCTGGACCTCGAATTTTCTGAGGGCAGCTGCCCTATGGTCTCATTCACATTTGTATCCCCATTGCCCAGCCAAGCCCTGGCCACAGGAAATACAGAAGAAATATTTTAAGAGTATAAAATATGAACACTTGGTTGGAGCTGGGCCAATTGTAGAAGAATGAATTCTTTTCCAAGCCCTGTTGATAAGCGCTCAGCACTTTTCATTGAAAAGAAAAAAGGGAGGTGGGAATAGTAGTTTGCATTTTAGTGCCCTTCTTGTGGTAGATGAATTAGACCATGGGCTCTGCACTTGATCTGACTCTATCACTTTTGTTGCGACCTTGGGCATGTTTTAACTCTGGTCAACTCAGTTTTCTCACCTGCTAGAGAAAGAATGATTGATGCGTATACATAAGTAATAGGACTGTAGAGATGAGAAAAGGAATGTTAAGGAGTACCAAATGTAGTACCTAATGTATGTAGTAAGCTTTCAAGAAAGATTTGCTGAAAGCCTCCTTTCTCTAAGATGAGGACAGTGTCTGTATCAGTCTGTTTTCTGTTGCTGTGACAAAAGACTTGAGGATAGGTAGTTTGTAAAGAAAAGAACTTTGTTTAGCTCACAGGTCTGGAGCTCCAAGAACGTGGCACTACTTGCCTGTGGTGAATGCCTCGTGGTGAATAACATCACAACTGGGCGGGAACACATGTAGAAGAGACAACAGGAGGGATAGGAAGCCAGAGAGACTGGGAGGACCAGGCTGGCTCCTATGATGGCCCACTTTCATGAAAACTAAGCAGAGACTCAAGAAAACTGTATTCATCCACTTCTAGAGCAGCATCCCCCATGCTGGGGCCACCTTCCATTAGTCTCTACCTCATAAAAGTTCCACTTCCTCTCAGCATTACCCCACTCAATCTCACTCAAAGTAGAGTAGCATTAAGAAAGGGATTAGGGGAGAGTGTTCTGGCCCAGTCTTTCCCATCCTTGACTTTCACCTGCCAGCTTTTGTGAATTTCATCTACTAATAAGGCATACTACTACTTATCTCACATGTTTTTGAGAGGAGTAAACTAGAATTATGCACAATTAGTACTGTTCTAGGGCATAGTAAATGCTGACTAAAGGGTAGTGATTGTCATCTTATTAACGCATAATATTTGTCATTTATGCTTGCATTTAAGCTAGCCTTTTTTTTTTTTTGGTACTGGGGGTCGAACTCAGGACCTTACCCTTGAGAGGCAGGTGGCAGCACCACTGAGCTAAATCCTCAGCCCTAAGTTAGCCTTTTAAGAAAACAGCAGTCCTTTTCACCTGGGTTTAGCTTTGTGCCGTTAATAAGCAGGTGCATCTTCCTCCTTCGCAGTGTTGCAGATAGAGTAGGCGAGAAGAGGGTGTGTGGGTTAGAGGCAGAGCCCTTTCCTGCCTCCTCATCACTCAGCACTGTAGCCTGAGCACACTACCTGTCTTCTCTGAGCTTGTTTCCTCATTCTCTACCTGGCAAGTTTGAGGAGAAGATCTCATGAGAAAGATGTCAAATTATGGGTAGTCAAGACAACAGTAAAATGATGGAGCTGGCATTTTACTTGCTTTTCAAGTGTTTGTACATTTATGTGACACTTTAAACAAATTTTAGAGATTGCATTATAGTTTTAGGTTTAAATAAAATGTTTCCAGTGTATGGGCACCGCTCTTCATTTTTTGTATTGAAGGATTCTATTAGCTGATCAGCTACTTGTCCCTCTTAGGCTGAATAAAAAATGCAGAGTAACAGTGTCTGCTGTGGGTAGATAAGAATTGTCATGGTAAGCCACTGACATACTCACCTGAGTTTAATTTTCTCCCTGTTTATTTAAATAATGATAGACAATTTAATGAGCTTTCTGTTTTTCTTATAAAACACAAAATACGTCCAGTTTAAATCAAAACTGAAAGAAAAAATTAGTTACATATCTCATTACTAATCTAGCTATTGTGTTGTATTTCATTAAATGATTTACTTTTGGGCCAGGGATATAGCTCAGTGACACTGCACCTGCCTGGCAAGCGCAAGGTCCTGAGTTGGATCCTCGGTATCAAAAAGAAAATTTACTTTTGAAATTATCTTCCTCCTGCTGGCCACCCCGGGCTATATTAACTGCTACTGCTACTTACTTTGGTCAGTTGGCAGAAATATACTCAGTTTTTTAAATATAATACAGGAGTTAATTTCACCCATAGCATGTCTGGAAGCTCAAAATTAGGTTCACGACTGCACCCTACACTCCTCGCACCTGTTTTTGTATGGCCTGTGAGCTAAGCATGATTTTTACATTTTCACATGGTTAAGAAGAAGGATCCAGTAGGCCATAGGGGAATTGTGTGCAGTTCACATTTCAGTGTTCCCTACACGTCCACTGGGGCACATCCACACACATTTGTTTGCTGCTCTCTGGCAGAGCTGAGTAGAACAGAACCTCACCATGCACAAAGCCTGGGACATTTATTGTCTGGCCTTTGCAAAAGCAAGCTGTGGACCCCTGACCCAGATGCCAACTCTGCCTGGTTTTCTGTCCCCTTAGACCCCACTGCCCCGCAGGCTGCCCTGTGCCTCCCTTTCCACTGTCCTCTTTAACAGTGTGCTTCTCCTCTGCTCCTAACGCCACTGTGTCCGGGACGGTGGGGTCATGTTTCTTTCTGCTTCACCTGTTTAGCTCCAGCCAACCTTGTGATGTTTTAAGAACCAAGCCGTCCTTTCCTCTGAAATATCAAACATGAGAAAAACTGTTAAAAATCAGTTGTTAAGAAGGCAAATTGACTCTTAAGAACTATTTGATTTTTACAAACTATTTTAAATTCCTCAAATTTACTTTGGTGCCATTATTTTTTGTTTACTTCTTTGGGCCTTTGTGTTTCATGGTCCTGGGGATGGAACCCAGGGCCTTTTGAATGCTAGGCAAGGTCTCTGCCCCTGAGCTACAGGCCCAGCACCCACCCTTTTGGAATTTGGATGTACAGTTTTGCTATATCATGCTATCTACATTTCTGAAAAAATCTTAAAAACTGCAAAATTGCAGACTTAAAAAAAATTACAGGAAAGGAAGGTGGCAACAAACTACAAATCTGGACAACTTTGAATGACAGCAGTTTCAGAAAAATAAAAATGGCAATAAAAATGGAGACAGAGTTATAAAGACATTTAAAGCCCTGAAAGTAATTCTGTAGTAAACACATAACATTGCTTTTAAAATGGTCCAGTCAGCATCCCGGAGAGGGTGGTCAGGATGGTTTGCAGCTTTAGGTGAGACACTCCTGGCCCTCACGTTGAAAGATAACCTGCAGGAGCACATCCATGACAGGGCCTCTGGCTCTGCCACAGCAGGAGGGAGGCCAGGTGTAGGGCACTGTTCTTTTGTGGCTTGCTGCATGCAGCTGGCGGAGTATGTCTTGCATTCTCCTGCTGTTACTGATTCTAAAAAAATACTGACATGCTAGAAAAAATCGCATGTGAACTGAAGCAAACAGACATGTTCAGGTGGCACTGTTTCCTACATGTGCTTCATGTGTGTGCACCCTTGCATCAGAGAAACGTGTTTCATCAGAACTTGCTCCTTTCTTCACTTCCCATCCCCCGCCCCCATCTCTGTCTCTCTTCTTTGTTTTTCCCTCCAAATAATATTGAAAATCAAGTAGCTGTATTGAGCAGGAGAATCTGAATCCCAATAGCTGGCCAAACCCAAGGAGGCATCAAATAAGCATTAAGAATTTCAGGTTAGCTGTTATGTCAGGATAGCACATTTGTAGCACAATGTATGTTAAATCCAAGGGGAATGAAAAGTGAAAGTAAGGTTGTAGAGTCATTAAATTTAATACTTCTTGAGCCATCTGAAGCCCCTCTCCACTGCTAAGTGGCGAGACCTAGTGTGCGCACATCAGCTGGGCCCCACCATGCACAGCGGCCCCTCACCAGTGATAGACTGGGAGTGGAGGGCAGTACTGGCTTTTTTGGGGGGTTTTTTGGTACCGAGGATCGAACTTGGGTCCTTGCACTTGCGAGGCAGGCACCAGAACCACTGAGCTAAATCCCCGGCAAGTACTGTTTTTAATACCCCTCAAATTTGAGGATAGGCTAGAAAGTAAAGCTTAAAGATCGGGTTCTAGACATATGTGTGAATTTTTTAATGTGTACATATAAAGTTGCGTATTTATAAAATTATATCCATACATGTGTAAGGTATAGCAGCAAGAAAATAAAAAATTATTGGCAATGTAACACCAGGGAAAGATTTTAAAGCCACTGAAGATGAATAATATTGAGTGTTCTCAGGAGGAAGAGACAATACAGATTAGACTTTGATGAATGCCAATTGGAAGGAAGATAAGCAGAGCAGTTTTTACTCCAGCATATACAGTAAGGTCAGGATGGTTGTAATAGCCGGAGAGAATGTGGAATAGCCAGCAGAAGAGGTGCTAATCAGCAGCTCAGGCTCCTGGAAGGGGAGATAAGGTGTAAGTAGCACCTTGTTATCAACCAGAATCACAGCACAGTGTGGACTGGAAATACTGTATTATGGTGACAGAAATCCTCAAAAGCACATCAGGGTAAACGTTCTGATGCAGAATAAAATGATGAGTTATTTTTAAATGTGCAAAATTAGCTTGTGACCAGACTAGGGAAAATCAGTTAAGTGTCAGGGTATAAAAAGCTGTCAGAGGCAAATTAGGAAATGTTTGAACAAAGCTATTGATGAGAAATGACCTCAGAGGTTTTATAAAGAATGTCCTTCAAATCAGTGACTAAATAGGGTATTTATGTTAAAGTCAAAATGTGACTGGGTTTAATACTTACCTTAGGAACTGCATTTGAATGTATTAGAATACACACTGTACAAATATCTTTTAAATAAATCAAGGATTTCCTTTCTCACCCACTTAAAAAAGGCAAGTGAGAGCTGCTGTTGTGGCCTATCATTAGGACCCAGGCTGTTTCTGATTTCCAACTCTGCTATACTAAGTAATTGTACTCATCTCAAATTTACTTCTTAATCCAAAACGGCTGCTAGAACTCCTGCCATTAGACAAGCTCCAGTCTCATCTTAGTCTACTTAGGATACAAAAGAAAGGAAGGCAGCCCACTCTAAAGAACTTTCATAGGAAACTTAATTAAAGATTTCCTACCCTTAGTAGCTAGGGAAACTGGGAAATGGTGGGCTTTTCACTAGACCATTTCTGTCCAAATAAAAGTAAGATTGTGTTCAGAATGGAAAGGGTGGAGGGGGGATGAATGTGCTAAGCTAACTTTTGTATTAGGTGAAATGGTAGGGAGGGTATTGTTATATGTCTAGGAAACATGCTTAAATGAGACATCTCAGGGTAAGGAAAAATTGAGGTAAAGATAAAAATAGAGAACAACACAAATACTACTACAATAAGAGTGTACCAGAGACCACTTGGCCCGATAAAAGATAGGTATGATGCATTTTCTCTAGCCGACCCAGAAATCAGATTTCATAGAGTATCAGTTGAAAGCTGTGTCCCAATTCCACTTCTGCTTGCTAACTTAGTAGACGATCTTAGGCAAGTTTCTTGCTCTCTTTGGGCTCAGTTTGACCATCTGTGATGTGGAAGCAGCATTGTGTTTTTCCTAAGTGGTTGCCAGGATTCACTGGGATGTTTGTAGAGCTAAGCACATGTAATGCCCCAGGCTCACCAGTATGGCTGGGCCATGTCTGCTAGAAGTTCTGTTCAGCAGTGTCATAGTCACTTTCTCGTCATTGAAACAAAATATCCAACACCCACAACTTAGGAAAAAGAAGTTTATATTGACTCCCAGTTTCAGAAGTTTCAGCCCACAGAGGACTGGCTCCAAGACAGAAACAGTATGATGGAAGAGCATGGCAGAAAAACACTGCTCGGGCCATGGTGGTAAGGAAGCAGAGGGGCAGGTGTCAGGGAAGGGGATGTACCTTTCCAGTGACACACACCCCAGTGACCACCTCTGAAGAGCAAGTTAGCTGTGAACTCACCAGGGGACCAACCTACAGATGAGTAGTGTCCCTGTGACTCGGTCACCTTCCAGTACACGAGGCTTTGGAGGACACCCCAGATCTGACCAGAGCAAAGCTCATGCCTTGTGCCACCTCATACTGGAGAGTAGGAGGAGAGAAATTGTCCTCATCCTGTGATCCAGGCCTGGACAACACAGAAGCAGAACAAGAAGGGACAAATATTGAGAAGGGGGCCCAGGGATTTAGTTCAGTGGTTTGGCCGCCTGCTGTGCAAGCGCAAGGACCCGAGTTCAATCCCTGGTACCAAAAAAAAAAAAAGAAGTATTGAGAAGAAACTGCCTTTTCATAGCTTCAGAGAGTTGAATATCCAAATATGTCCCCAGGAGCTTCGGAACAGAAGACTAGGGATGAAAACTCCAATTCCAGGGGGAAGTATCAGGTTGTTTCCCACCCATAATCCTATAATCACATGGGTCCCACTGATAAGAAGCAGCTAAGACTCCAACATCACCAGCTTGGCCCGATGGGAACCAGAGCCTTGGATTTTAGAGGGATGCTCAAAAGATGTACAAAGGGACCCACAGAATTGAGTGTAAGGCTAGAGGCATCTGACGTTCAGATGGTGCCCCGCCCCCCCCAAAACCAGGGAGACCCAAAATGAGTTCATTCTCTCCGCTTCTAAGGTTTTCTCAAAATAAGGTAACTCTTTTCTTTCAATTTTGTCATGGAAAACTTCTCAGAATAGCATAATGAGTCCCGAGGTACCTGTTGCCCAGCTTCATAAGTTATCAACTCACCGCTAATCATGGTTTATCTTTATTCTCCTACCCACTGTCCAAATTATTTTGAAGCAGATCCAAGACATCTTACTCTTTTATCCTAAAGTATTTTAGTATACATCTCTAAAATATAATGCTCTTTTTAAAAACTCCACAGTAAAATTATCACAACTAAACTTCATTTACAGTGAGTTAGTAAAATATGCAGCCAGTCTAAAGATTTCTTAGATTGTCTAAATATTTTATTCAAATGATCATGCAGATGAGATCCAGTGGTATGATTGGGTCTATTCCTTGGGTCTTTTTTAATAGAAGTTTATTTTTGAAGAAACTAGGTTATTTATCCTGCAGAGCTGCCCACAGTCTGAACTTCGTTAATCACATACCCCTGATGTGGTTTGCCATTTTTTTCTCCCTGCTGCTTTTCTGAAATTGGTAGATAAGATATAGCAGTTTGAGCAAATTTAGGGTTGATTTCGGCAAGGCTGCTTTGTCTTAACATCTGTAAGTACATAATGTCTGGTTAGTTTGTCCCCCGCTTCTCAGTCTCCCCTTCTTTCTCTCCTACCCTACCCTCGCCGCCTCCTCCTCTCATTTAAACCATATGGGGGATTGAACCCAGGGCCTCTTAACACCGAGCTACATCCCCAGCCTCTTATTTTTATTTTGAGACAGGCTCTTGCTGAGATGCTAAGTTGTCCAGGCTGGGCTCAAACTTGCAGACCTCCTTCCTCAGCCTTCCACATTGATAGGAATCATTTCCTACACACAATTATTTGTTAGTACTGCTAGTGATAGTGTGTCTCTCTGAGCTCACTTAATTTAATGTGTGATGTTATTTGATGTTTTTCATTCTGTTGCAGTTATTCTTTCTGATGCTATATTGACTAGTAAGTTAGCCTATAAATGCCGAGTTGAGGACCATCTGAAAAGTTCTTCTAGGAAGCAGACTTGGACAGCATCTGCAGTGAGCTAGCGCCTTCTGCTTCCCAGCTCTGCTGCTGTTTTGAAGGGAAGCTTTCTCACTTTAATTTTTCTGAGTATAGCCTCAGCCTCTGTGCTGCCTCTATATGTTCTAACAGCTGAACCATCAGACACCCGGCTAGATAGGTCCTCGGTGATTAATTTTTTCCTGGAGACCCTGAGGCTTGCAGTCATAAACATATGGTGTCAGATGTCTTGGTGGGTAACTGAGCTAATGGTGTGTGAAGGTGACCTGAACAAATTTGGAATCAGAACTCATGTGGGTTATGCCAAGCTGCTCCTATATTAAATTTAGAGTATTCATATTTTTGCCTCAGTCTCTCTTGGAGACTTAAGTATGTAGTTCTGAGCTCAGAAATTCTGTTAAGGTCAGAGGAAGCCAAATGCCACCTCTTTTGAATCTTTATAATGAACTTGTTCATGCTTTCTTTCCCACATTCTGCCAAATACCTTTGTTCTCCTTTTACAGTTACTGTTTCTAAACTGAGAATGGCAGATAACCAGACCAGATGAAGCATGGTGGGGTTTCATCCATTTTTTCCAACCATTTTCATGAGGAGAAATTTATACCAACAGAATATGATTTGGCCGCTTCACTGTAGGCCAGTGGTTATTTGCAAGCTTCTATCCAGGACTGCATTACCTCTTGGTCTTTAGTTTCTTTTTGATAGTTACAGCCCTGCCAATGAAAAAATGTTGAGCACAACTTCCTAATGTATGGATGTTAATTTATCACTAAGAATGTGTAATACTGTTACAATGCAGGGCTCATTATTAAAATGATGAGAACTATAAATGAACGTTTTCTTGGGTGTGTGTGTCTCGGAATCATCTTATGCATCCCACTTTGGACTTCATACCTTAGATGAGTCACTGTGAGGTTCCCTCATAGCAATAATACCCTCCAAATAAACCAGACACCAAACAAAATTCAATTTCAGTTAACTTTTTAAAAATCACAAAATTTAAAGACATTTTTAATTTCAGTGTATATTCTTTTGTTTTCAGAAATTAAATTTCATTTGAATCACATGAAAGAACACTATATTATTTTAAATGTAGAATCTCTCAAAGGGCTTTAACTTGCCCCTACTACTGGTATTTGCACGTGGTGTCTGGGCTATCAGTGAACACAAACTTACAATCCATGACAGGCATTTTAGTATGTGAACACCGACCCTCCTCCTTGCTAATAATATAGTGGCCTTTGGTTTTTGCTAAAATAGTCGTAGCAGTTTTCCTTTGAAATATCGGGTTATTTGGCCCTGCTCTCCATTGGAGTGGACAACTTCCCACCTCTGTGATTTCTCTCATTGGATAAGCATCACTTATTCCTTGTCTTGTTTCAAACCCTCAAGGTCTTTGTTTCTTGGACCTCTGCCTCTGTAATTTGGCAGGTGTGTGTTGAATCACTTATGCTGATGATCTAGACGAGTGGTCACAGATAGATCTGTCTTGGTCCTTCCCCCAGGAACTGACCAGTGATCAGATTAATGATCACAGATGGATGTGACCAGGTCCTTCCTCCCAAAGCTTTGAATCACTTAACAGAAAGCAACAGACTGTATGCTCAAGTAGTGTTTAATAAGGTGGGAGACCGCAATGACTAGAGGATCAGGGGGGTTCGTTGCCTAAAAGCATAATAATGCTGAAAAAGTTGGGGTGATGGGATATGCTTGAGTAAAGTGTCAAGAATAAGGTGCACCCTGAGCACTCCAAAGGGGCTCCCTGGGGTGGTGGCAGCAGAATGGTATGGGAAACCAGTAGAGCATCTTTTGAACCAAGACTGAAAATCACAGTTATGTACCCCTTGGCTTAATCCAACCCAGCTGCTGTCGCAAAGTCCCATAGACCAAGTGGCTTATAAATTCTTCACAGTTCAGGAGGCTAGAAGACCACAATCAGGGTGCTGGCATGGTTGGGTCCTGGTGAGGGCTCTCTTCTGCATTGTAGGCAACCTACTTCCTCTTGGGTCAGAAAGAAAGAAAGCTAGATCTCTGATCTCTTTTTATAAGGGCACTAATCCCATCTGCAAGGGCTTGATTCCCATAATCTGTTTGTCTCCAAAGGCCCCACTTGGTGGTTTAGGACCTCAACTTGTGAATTTTAAGGGGACACAGTTAGTCTATACCAGCTGTGGACATGGGGTAGAGGAGAAAGGTTTGAGAAGTCATGAGAAGAATCCTGTGTAGTTGAAGTCACCTGTCCTTGCCATCTGCTATGATCCTCTGGGGCTCCCCAGGAGAGAGGATGATTATAACCTGGAGAATCTGGGGTCAGGTAGGTGAAACCACTTCTCAAGAGCACAGAGCCAAAGGTAGCGCTAAGTCTAAAAGCTCAATTTCCTGGCTACAGATTCTGCACCCCTTTTACTATTCCTCTGTAGGCCCATTAGGGTGGACCTGGTGTAGGAGCAGAGCTCGAGTGGTACCCGAGAAATAGAGGGGATGGATAGAGTGTGGATTGTGTGGGGAGAGAAGGACATAGAAAGCCAGAGAGAGATTTTCCAAAATGACTGACAAAGGTGAGACCTCAGCTTTGCTTTCCCAGTATATGTTGGTTGTCCCTGTTTTCAAACTGCTGCTTCTAAATTGTCACTTAAACTGCTTTTCCTTTCTAAATATATTTATTGGCAGCATTTTGGATTGGAATGGGCTCTAATTAGGCTGATCACTTTTATTCTGCTATCTTCATGATTTCAGGAAATCAGAACTGAAACATGAAAATTTTGAGAGACATGTGATTTATTTCAAGGAGCGGAACAGGGAGGGTATTTTGGGCTTCCCTCTTAAAATCAGCCCTCCCATAAAGCCTGCTTCTCAGTTGTCCTTCAAAAGGGACTCTCAGTGCTGTGCTCAATCAGGATCTCCATCCAAATACCTCCATAGCACTGAGGAGATCGTGCCTGGGATTTGGAAGATAGCTCCTATTTTGATCCAACAGGGAAGGAAGGAGCCCAAGAGAGATTTGTGCTTTAAATGGCCTGGTTTGTTACATGCCATGTCCCAGCCTACAACAGCGACTGTTGACACTTGGTATTCTGAGGGGAGAGATTATGCACATTTTTACCAGCTGACACATCCATCATTGGGAAGCCGTGGGTACTAATGCACATGGCATGGGCACAATGCCTTGGAGAGGAAATTTAACAAGCACAGTGCTTATGCGTTCGAGTTTAAAACTAGAAACTCATCAGAGCTGTGTGGTACAATGGAAGGAAGCCCGCGCCCTCCCCTAGCACACAGGTGGGGAGCCCTGGGTCAGGGACCTCAGCATCAAGGACAAAAGGTGTTTTAGTGAGGGCAGGGCATGCCCTGAAGCATATGAAGGTGCTGCTCTGTCTGGACTTCATGGCCTGCCCTGTGTCAACCATAACAGTGCTGGCTGAGCACTTTTAGATGCCTATAGGGAGTGTGTGTGTGAGAGAATGTGGTTATGGGATTTGTAGCCCCTTCGCACCATAATACTTTAAGAAATTGCATTTGTTCCTATGAACCCCCTCTTGAGATAGTATGGCAGTTTTAACAGTCCCAACTTTTACAGATAAGAAAACTTGAAGCTTTGGGCACTTGCCCAGATTCCATAAGAAGTTAGACACAGAGCTGGTATAAAAACCCAGATTGCATCAGTTTTGAGACCAACTGCCTACTAAGTGTTACGGACGTGTGGACAGGGTCCCAGAAGGGCGGGTTACATCAGTCCTATGTGAGGGGTGCGGACAGGCCTCCTTGTGCCAAGGCTGTATGTGTGTAGAGAGACTGACTCCTGCCTCTCCTTACTCTGCCATCCAGTTAGTACCCTCCATTCTGTGAGGCTGCTGATTAGAGCCATCAAGCATAAAGATCTTCAAAAAGCCCTAGGTCTTTTTGAAGCAGTGCTGCTTACCCTGAGCACAGTCCCTCTGACAGTGAGAGCTTCCCAGCACATTAAATGATGTCTTATTTGGAGCCTCTCTTCCTCCTGAGCAGTCTTTGTGGTCATGATCTGCAACCAGAGGACAAGTTTGTGACCTGCCTGAGTCTATGGCTATCCTGGTGTCCCCAGAGAGGTGCTGTTTATTATTAATTAGGGCTCTAAAGTGAGGAATACCTCCAAATATTACTATAGAATCACAGGATTAATTCCTTTACAGTAAATTAAGCACTTAGTGTTTCTCCATATTGCTGTGGCCTGGTCTGTGTTTTATTTAATTCACGGTCAAATGAATGGAGCCAATCTCGGTGTCCCACCCCACCTGCTGTCTCTGAAGAATCCAGGAAGCGTGTGCTTGCCTGGTGGAGTGTAAACACCCGCCTAATGTCTGTGCTGCATCCAACTCACGGCGCCATTTTTGCTTCAGGATATGAGAGGCTGGCAGGAGGGTAAGGCCTGTGGGATGCCCTCTTCTCTTTACAGTGAAACAAAGATGTATACTGTCCTGCAGAAGCAGGCCTGGCGCGTGCTGTGATTTCCCTTGTTGGTTTCCCAGCAAAATGGTCCTCCTTGATCCCACCTCCCAGATTTCTACAAAATCACAACGTGTGAAATGTGCCGTTTGGGACTGCCAAATGTAACTTTGGAGACAGATTTTCTCTCTCCCCAAGTTGTAAGATAATCACATATGAAAAAGTTGGAAATTGAAAGAAAGCAATTACTTTTCATCTTGGCATGCAGAAATAAACAGATTTGATGTGTATTCTGGCAGTCATTTTGTGACTGATTTGTGTACTTCGTTTGAAAGAAACTTTTTGAAATAAATAAAAAATGCTCCTCAATAAACTATAAGTAAAGACAGGTTGACAAATCTGTCAGTGCTGTCCATTAATGTGAATATATGAATTATTAATTTTGGTAGAGCCACTGACAGATATACAGTTAACACTGGAAAATGGAAAATGTAATACTACTCTTTACTCTTTGCTCAGAGAGATCAACAGACAAGACAGAAAGGTAATGGGTTTTTGCTCCCTTTTTACAGAGAACTACATTAAAATGATTAAAAGCATTAACCTGTTACTTCCTAGTTTTATATATAGTATTTTTTAAATTATTTATTGATGTGATTGTGTATTCAAAGTTCAGAAAAAAAATGTTCACTGCATTTCTTTCCTGGTCATGATTATTACTCATTTCATCTCATGGTTATTGCTGAAATTAATCTTTGATCTAAGGAGGGGTGGGTGTTAAAAGTGATCCCCTTTGGATTTTGGATGCTCCAAGTATGCTGAAGATTCTCAGGTGGAGATCAGCTCAGCCAGATTGTTTGGGGAAGCTCTAGGTAAGGGAGTGCCCCAGGGCGGCCCAACGGTCTACTTTGTGTGCCTGCCAGCAGTCCTGGTCCTTTTCACTTGGGGGGGTGAGTCCTCTGGAGAGAGGGCAGCTGTGAGGGTAGCATCTAGCAATGACTGGTCGCCACTCTGCCTCCTTGCCTTTTCAGACTGCTAGGGAAGCCCCACAGAAAGCAGAGAAGGAGCTACTTACATCATAAATTGAAAGTCATGGCCAGAGATTTAGCTCAGTGGTTTCGCCGCCTGCCTTGCAAATGCAAGGACCCGAGTTCGATCCCTGGTACCAAAAATAAATAAATAAATAAATAAATAAATAAATAAATAAAAGTCATGGATTTAATGGGTTGACAGACCTTCAAATCAAGGCTGTCATTTTATATGTAAGGAACTTGAAGTTGTACATGATAAAGTAGGCACCCCAGATCTATTCCAGTGGTTCCAAGAGAACTAAAACTTGTACCAGGTTTCTTACCTTCCAGATAGGACTCTGAAGAGCTTCAACCAGTCTCTGTCCAGAAACAGATTGAGGAAAGCCTAGAAAATCACAGGGAAGACATTCACCCAAAATCAGAATGAAGGAAGGAACTTCTGGCATGCTGTTGTCTCAGGAGGCATTGACAGTTGACAGTTTTCACCAAGGCATGAAGTAGGGTTTATAAGGAAGCTTTCCACTCCTGGACTTCAGCTGAGTGAGTGAGCACTGAGTGGACTTGGTGACTGCCTTCCAGTCCTTGGGACTCTGACCCATCAGCCCAGCCACGTGATAAAGTCTGTGCCTGTGCCATTCACAGCACTTGCCCTGGGCCGTGAACCTTTCTCTTTCCTGCTCTCTGATCCTGATCCAGGCCTTCTGAGGAAAGGGCATGACCCTGGGGCTCTGCTATGGTGCTGTTACTGCCAGGCTTGGTGGGATGACAGAATCTTCCTCTCCTTCATGTCCTGTTAGATCTTGCTGTCCCCGCCAATGCTGCTTTTACGCATCATCTCCCAAATCTCAGTCATTCCACCCCAAATCCATACCCACCTGGACAGTTAACTGCTATTCTTAATGGACATACTCTAAAAATTAACCATTTTAGGTTTGTCCTAAATAATATTCATGAACTCACATAAAGTATGCCATATTTTTCTAAACCCCTATAGATTCATGTAACTTGAAATGTTAAATGGTCATCCATCTACTACCTAAAGGCACCTTGTATTTTTAAGTTGAAAGAATGAGATTTCATAGAATACAAGAAAAAAACAACCATTTGAACCCTTTCTTTGTGGAGGTTATTCTCTGTGCTTTGGATACAATTTTGGGCAGGCCCTGTAACTCTTAAAACAGTAAAAAATCTTTCTATTACTTTTAGTTCCAAGAACAATCCCAGTGCAGTAATTAAAGTATCCACTTTGGTTTAATAATGGAAACTCTGAACACCATTTTAAGTAAAGCTTCCCTCTGCTGCCAAGTGCTGCTCCACCCAAGAAGCTGGAAGCGGGGCGGTGTGTGTGTGTGTGTGTGTGTGTGTGTGTGGTCACCCTGTGGCTTCACCTCCTCATGCTCTCTGCCACCTTCCTGTTCACAAAACTGTGCTGCTGACAAATTCTCCAGGGACAAATGAGGAAAGGCCAAGATGAAGGGTAGGAAAGCTGTTCCTTGTGTAAGACTGGCACTGCCAGTATTATCACCACCTGAGCTCTGAAGGTATCTAATGCTCATTTTCTTTGGCAAAACTATGAAGGTGCCTCCAGCCCCCATGGATCACCTCCATGTGTGTTATGTGTTCTCAACTTGATGGTGTGACTCCCTGTCAGTTTCTGGTTTCTGTCTGCCCGTTGTCCCTGTGGCCTTTGTGCCCCAAGGACTGTCCTTGGAACCTAGATGGGCACCCTTCTGTGCAGTTCACACCTGCACCAAGGGAAACCCAGTGCTCCCTTCCCTTGAGAAACTAGAAGCTTAGCCATTCCAGAAGCTGGTTCTGCTGTAGCCTTCTCCTCCAAGGGAGTCCAGCAGCTTCCAGTCTGTGACCATGAGACCTCTCAAAGCTTGAGTTTGGCTTTAGTCCCCCAGAAATTTTGGGGGTGACAAGTTGTTCAAGTGTCCCCTTACAGACCCTCCTTACCCAGTTAGGTAGAACTGGGGCAAAGCCAATGGAGCCTCAGTGACCCTTCTTCCTACTGGGGGGAGGGTGCCCTGAGGAGGCAGCCACCCACACCAGTTCCACAAGTATATTACACTTTTGCCTCTAGTCGAGGGGGACTGGCTGCTCGCTCTGGGGGCATATGACCCTCATTTGGCTCCTGGCCCTTGGGGCTTCCTTTGAATAGTCAGGAGAAGTCCCATATCACCAATCACACCCACCTATAGTGTGGCCTTGCTGCTCTTCACTACAACAGCACCCATCCCAGTGTTCCAGAATTCCCTGGAGACTCTAGCTGGGTGGTCCTGTGGAGGATTTAGTTCTTCTCTGTGATGAAACAGACTCTGATCTATTTCATTACCCACTGGCCAAAACCTGTCAGGGTATATCACCCCTTCCTCAAATTCTATAAAGGAGAAGACGGAGGTCAAGTCCATTCCATCCATCATTCACTGACCCTTTGGGGGTTCCTTAAAAAATGCAACTTAAAGTTCGCTAAACCTCTTAATCTTGCTAAACTTTCTTTGTGTGACAACTTTCTCTTTTTCACTCAGCAGTCTGATTTCTATGATTACTGTCCGGATAGAGCTGACCACAGGAAGCTCATGGAGGAGCCTGTTGACATATTCGGGCCATGGTGATCTGTTTTTAACCTTTCAACCTCTTCTCTGAACACAGTAGCATAGCTGGTGGGCTTTGTTGCTTTGGGACTGTGTCAGTCAGAGTAGATTAAAGGGCATCATTATCCATGAGTGACTGAATTTGCATTGGGCAAAGAGAAACCAGCTTTACAATTTGAAGACCTCCTGCCCTTCACAAAGTAGAGAGGGGGTCATGTCAAAGGGTTTCTTGTGTTTTCAGACTGCCTGGCAGTTCCCCAGGGTCCTTGAAGAGGCATTCATTAAATGGCAGAAAGCTGTAGTGCTAAGGCTGAGAAAGCTGTGAAAAACAAGTGCTGGAAAATGGGAAACATACTAACTAGCTGGTCCAAACTGGTAGATCTGTAGGGGCATGGGCATTGGTTCAAATCGAGCCATGAAGTGAAGATTCTAGCCGTCCAAGGACTCCTATTTCCAGCTTCTTCTATTTGATGTTTTGAGGACAGTGTTAACGCCACAATTTCCGCTCCTCGCTCAGCACTTCACATATAGCAGGTATCTAGTAGAACTCTAAAGTGAACATGGCCTGCTATTCACTATTTGTAGATGAAAAATATGCCATCAAATTGCAAAAACATGACTGATTGCTCTTTCTGGTCTGCCTGTTAGCCAGATAAACTTCCTGATTTCTTTCTATAGACCAGAGACCAAACTTCTCACCTAGTTAATAAGTTCTTGTGAATATCCTTCCTTCTTCCTAACTCCCCTATAGGTAGATTCTAGAACCACTTCTAAGCATACTCAGATACAACCTTATGTAAGACCATTGCCCTAGGTCAGTGATGACAAACCTTTTAGAGACAAAAGCCCAAACTACAACCCAAAACCCACTTAATTATCACAAAGTTCCAGCACTGCAGTTAAACCTGAATACTAAGGTTTTAGTTTAGAAAAAAACAACTCATACATTAACATCTTTTGTCTTAAAAGAAAAGCACAGTAACATGCATGCCATGGGTTCACCACCACTGGTCTAGGCGAATTATAACCTATACCAGATGAAGTCAAGAGTAAGTGTAGAGCCTGCGGGATGGGGTTGAATCGGGGCCCCAACTATCTGATCCGTTCTGTCCACCATCAAGAATATGAGAAAAACGTGTAAAAATGGAGAATTGGATTTATTCCTAATTTAGCCAAGTTAGGAGGGCAGCTAATCTGCCTCTTGATCACACAGAAGCTCTCAGGACTCTGTAGACAGGGAAGGGCAAAAGCCAGGAAATACCTCTATGTAGATTTAGTTGGGTGTCTGCCCGCAAGTGGTCCCAGGAAATGTTGAAATTCCTGTTCCATTGAAGAGAAGCCTCTTTGGTGCCCAGCGTGCATGGGGTGGGTGGGTGGGGGAGCAGTTTCCACTCAGCATGAGCAACCTGGAGAGATAGTCTAACTTGAAAAATCCTAATTATTAAAAATCCATTTTAACCTCAGTTACAAACCCAATATTGGTTAAGTAGCCCTTCTCTAAAATGCTTGGATTGTTTTTTTTGTGGGGTTTTTTGGGGAATATTTGCATAGACCTGACTGTTTGATTATCCTTATTTTAAAAAATATGAAATCAGAAGTGTTCCAAAACCTGAAAATTTTTGAGCAGTGAAGTTTCAAATTTTGGAGCATTTTGAATTTTAGGTTTCTGGACTGGGCTGCTTAACCTGTGTATCACAAGGTGCAGACACTTTGTTGCTCATGACTCATTGTAGACCACAGTCAGGCCAGAGGCAACAGTGAGGCTTCCCTTTCTATTCCCACTGTGATAATTGAGCAGCATTTTTTATCCTACAGAGATACTTGGGAAGGAAATGGTGGGGTAGACAGGCCTGAGACTGATTACTTGTCAGTCTTCCAGAGCCCTTTGAGCCTTGGGTGAAACACAGCGAGGAACGAACACACACACACACACGCACGCACGCACGCACGCACGCGCGCGCCCTTTACCTCTGGGTGGTTACTGGAGGTAAATGAGTCGAGGACTGCATAGGGTTTAAATTATTCTGTAGTGTAAATCATTGCTGAAATTCAGAGGTTTGCATTTCAGAGCTCACCTCTAATCTTGGAATAAGGTACTTTTTCATCCTTGCTGAATTTTAGCCTTCAGGAGCAGGCAGATGAGGTTGTTTCCTTTTGTTTCCCTCACTACTTCATGTCTTTCTTTTTACCTTGCAGCTCCTAAGACAGATCCTTTTTCCTGGTAGCTGTGTTAAAGTGAAAGGAAATCAACTGTAAGATATGTCTATAAAGGTGTACGATTGTCATTTTGTTTTTTATTAAAATATGTCCTTCGTTGGTCATGGACCTGAAAGTCACTTCCTAGGAGCAGGCAGAAGAACTTGGCTCCTGACTCTGGATGGGATGATGGGCAGATCGTTGGCAGGAGTCTGAGGACCTGGGCAGTACCTGAGACGCTCTTTTCCAAGAGCCCACAGATGCTTTGTGGTTGGTGTGCCCTCTTTGTCACTCTTACTCAGTATAGGCTGAGAACCTATTGGATGCCGCATCTCTGCTAAGCCTTGTTCCCTGCCCTTGAGTTCACAGTTCCAGCTAGGTGGGAACACTCAGGCACAGCACCACCCAAGGAGGTGAGGCAGGAAGATACCAGAGTACAGAGCACTTGGGTGCGTCCAGTAAAGCTGACTGGACAGGGTGGGCAAAGGCAGTGGCACCCAGTGTGTGCAGGAGCACATGAGAGGTTTAGGCAGGAGAGATCATGTAGGTAGATCTTAGGCAAAGTGGAAGAGGGAATAGTAGTGTCACAGGAAATAGGAAATATTGTGTCTCCTAACCTGTTAACTGTATGATACGCCGAGTTCTTGTTCTCTACAAATCAAAAAATGAGTCCTAGGAATGGCAGAGGTTAAAAGTAGAAAGATATTTATTGATAGGAAAGCTCCTGAAGGGCAGGAGGGGTCCCGAGTGGGTAGCCAAGGACCCCACTTTACAGAGAAGTTTTTTAGGGTGAAACCCAACCTTCCAATAAGGTTACAAGTATAGCCATGTAGGTAATGGTGGTCCAACTGGGAAGCAAGTCACGTACCAAGCATGGATGGAAAGAACAAGGATTCTCCTAG